CAGAATTCCAGGTGAGAGAGACCTAGAGGAATTCTCCCCTTCCCGCCAGGATGCTCTGCTGCCAAAACGCAGAGTGTCCTGTGTCTGCTTTCAATGGCAAGGGATGGCGGTTCTTTGCAGCATGGCAGTGGGAGCAACTGCTGAGTCTGACCCCCCACAGTGGACTCAGTGGACTCCCTCTGGTGGCAGGGAGGAGGAGGGGGCCGTGCAGCAGCCCTTCCAACTCCGCCTGCCACCGTGCACCGTCACATCAGCTCGGGGCTGCACACTGTGAGCCAATGTCAAGGTACCTAGGAGCTTTACTGAAATTGACTTCAGGAAGATATTAATAAAAGGGGGCATCAGTCTGGTAGAGGAGTGCAAGCCTGCAAACACAGCAAACATTTGGAACTGTAAGCCCAGGATATCCAAACCAAAGGTCCCCACCTGCCAATGAAATCAAAATGCTAATTTTCAATTTTAGACATAATTCCCTCTGGGCTAGCTCCTATTCGACATCTGTTCCACAGCTTTCAATCAAAAGCAAGCTTCCCCGGTTATTTATACTGACAGTCTGACTTCTGATGCGAAATGCCACTAAAGGCACAACCTCTCACATCTTACCAGAGACAGCTCCAGTCGCTCCAATCACACCACGCCCCGTCCCCTAGGGCTCGTCCACGAGCCAACCTTCACGACAATGCCGCCCAGAGAAGATGCCACTCCTTCCAACACGACGCGGAATGCATGAATAAGGGAATCAACTCTCTTGGCAGTCTTGAGAAAGACACATCTCCAGGTGGGTTTCTACTGTTCTCTTTAAGAAAAGTCTCACTTCTAACATAAAAAACACTAAGTAAATCTTCCATCAGGGCCACAACCACAGCACTTGCGGAACCCAGTCCCTGTGATACAATGGAGAGCCAACCATCTGCTTAAGAAGTTGGAGGCGGGAACTCATTTAAAAGAACAAAAGGCTCGACTTCCTGCAAGAAATGAGCCCCTCAAGTGGAGTTTTGGCTTCCTGCTGCTGGAGGCCATTTTGGCCAACTCCAACCCCTGCTGTGAACAAATGGCTCCAAAGCCCTCACTTACAAAGATTCTAATTGAAGGCAAATAAGAAGGTCAAGGTTCCTCGCTGGACATTAGAGGCAGAGCAGAACTTTGATCCTGCCCAGCATCATGTCGCTTGAACTGAACACCAACAGCTGCCGTGTTATTGGCAGTTTCCAACAGGGGCACGTGGCAGACCGTACTCTAAGAGGTTTTCATGCACTGTGCCACTGAACTGTCCCAGGGACCCTACGCAGCAGGTGTCCTCAGCTCCGAGGGAGAAATAAAGTGTGCAAAAGTTGTGCTCCGCCTAGAAGGCCCGCAGCTGGGGCAAGCAAGTCTGACCAAGGGGGCTGTGCAGCAGCCCTTCCAACTCTGCCTGCCACCATGCACCGTCATATCAGCTCGGGGCTGCACACTGTGAGCCAATGTCAAGGTACCTAGGAGCTTTACTGAAATTGACTTCAGGAAGATATTAATAAAAGGGGGCATCAGTCTGGTAGAGGAATGCAAGCCTGCAAACACAGCAAACATTTGGAACTGTAAGCCCAGGATATCCAAACCAAAGGTCCCCACCTGCCAATGAACTTGTCCCTGGCTAAGCTGCACACGGCAGGCAGCCCATGGCTCCCAGATGCATGTCTAAGAGGCCCAGCTGTTTTAGTGAGATGTGCAGGATGCCACAGGAAAATAAACCACCGTTCCAAAAATAAACCGGAGTGATCAGAGTGAAAGCGTGACGCGTGGCCGTGTGGCTCACGCTGGAGTCAGCCTGTTTACTGCCGCTAGCATCGGTTCTCTCAAGGAACTGAAAGTGGTCTGGACAATTTTGGAAATTTCCACCAGAACGTGCTAAGGTCGTGACGGCATACCAACTCCTGCTAGGGGCTGCATACCACAAGCACTGGGAGCTGCAGGCCACGGTGCCCGGCCACACGGAAGGCTATGTGGCCAGAAGGGTGAGGGTTGTGGTGGGCCAGGGCGAGAGGACAGCCGGAGGGTAGCAGGGAGGCCACGGGGAAAGCAGCAGAGAAGGGGCCTGCTGGAGGGGCAGGCAGCAGAGCGGCTGAGGCACAGGTGGGCACAGGGCAGACTGGAGAGGCGGGCAGGGTCCAGGTCACAAGGAAAGTGGAGCCTGGACAACCAGGATGCACTGTAAGCAGGGAGGAGACCACTGAGAACGATCCCCTCCCGGAAGCCCTCAGGGCCAGTGTGGACCGCAGGCCTAGAGCCACACAGCCCCGGCTCCAACTCAGGCCCCAGGGCTTACAAAAACTTTTTCTTTTTTATTAATTGATCATTATATTTATATATATACACTTATCGTTATAAATTTAACGATACATATTTATGGTAGGCAACATGTTTTGCAATGTGTGCCCACTGTGGAATGGTTCAATCAAGCTGATGACCAGAGAACTACTTGAGACATCTGTCTGTGGTGAGGAGAGCTAGGACACTTCCTAGCCTCAGTCTTGCCAGCTGCAGAATGGGAAGTACATGCGACAATGGATGCACAGCGCTGGAACGCGGTAAACAGCTAACGAGTGGTGATGCTGTTAACACTGTAAGCCCAGCTCAGGCAGACCCAGTGGGACTCCGGATGAGGCACACCGCGGGCAAGCCAAGCTGAGGAATATCTGGTGACCACTCGGCTGCAGGTAACGTAAGGGACAGGCCCTCAATGGCTGTGACGGGGGGCTGGTGGCACCCCTCACAGAGCAAGTAGGGGAGGCAGAGCCAGGGTGGGACTGGGGCCTTCTGAGGAGGGGCCCGTGAGCTTCCCGGAACAGGTATTGGGATGCGCGTGGCTGAGTCTGGGGTCTGGGTGCACGTGTGGCCTGAAATCAGAGAAGCAGGTATGGTAAGCGCCTCATTCCATGAGAACTGAAGACGCCGCCCACAGAGGCCTGTTCAGTCAGAAGGGCAGCTGCTGGCACAGAACCCTGGGGCTGTCCACGATTACAGGTCAAGAGGAGAAAGGAAAGAGCCAGAGATGACAAGGGGGCACTCAGGGCGACGCCATGGAAAGCAGCAGGATGTCCAGGAGGGGGTCCTCAGGGCACCCAGCACAGCTGAGGGCTCGGGGAAGTTCCAGGGGTGCCTTGGCAGTCAGTAGAAACTTGCTGGCTTTAGACCACAGGGCAGTTTTCACGGGGCAAGGGGGTTAAGCCCAACCGCTCGGACAGAACAGGTGCAAATGGGAACGGGGAAGGGGAGAGAATGCCCCGCTGGTCTGGGGCAAGGACGGAGAGGAATCGCGCTGAGGGGGAGGTGGGGCAGACCTTGTCAACGTGGGGTGCTCTGGGTACTCTGAGCTGAGAAGGCAAAGGCAGAGGGCAGCGGGTGCTGACCCAGGACAGGGAGAACCAGGGACAGGGCAAGGCCCTGGAGGAGATGGGATCTTCCAAGCATCTCCTGTGCGTCGGGTTCTGGGGATGCAAACCTGCCCGCAGCCCCGAGCAGGGCGTGCAGTGGGTGCCAGTCCCCAAGGTGCTTTGCGCCAGGGAGCCTCAGAGGGGTGGCCCCTCGCTGAGGTTTCCTAAGCCCGCATCTGAGCCCGTCACCTCTGCGCCCACTGCCCAGCACTGTACACAGCACCCAGGCTCGCTGGGCGTCCAGTGACATTCCTGATGTGAAGGAAGAAATATACCTGTCGGAAACCTTATTTCCAGGGATAGAAATTTAATAAAGGGGTTGAGGAGCACGTTCTGAGACAAAGGGATCTGGGGCATTCAAATACAACTAGATATTCACAAAAACAGCAATCGCTCGGCGCTATGGTGAGAATGCCCGCGTCCCCACGAACGTCCGTCTCGTGTTGAAACCCAGCCCCCAACCCGACGGTCCCAACCAGTGGGGTCCCCAGGAGGGGATCAGGACCGGCGGGAAGCGCCGTCCACGAGGGATGACACTGAATCTGCGGGCGCCGTGGGCTTGGACTTCCCACTTCCCAGCCTCCAGGGCGGGGAGGAAGAAATGTTTGTCGTTCCTGAGCCTCTCGGTCCATGGAGTAGGTGCTCCTCGCTTACGACGGACTCGCATCTCAACAAAGCGAGGTAAAGATACCGGAAGTGGGGAACGCGCCGGATACACCCAGCTCGCAGCAGCGCAGCGGCCTGCACGTCCACCTCCGCAAGACCCAAGGTGGACCGCCTGCGGGGTCGCCACCTGTGTGTGCTTGGAAACCCTAAGCCTGCTCTCCTCTGAGGTCCCGGGTGCCAAGCCCAAAGCCCTGAATGGACACAAGTACCGCTTTAGCTGTGGCCTGAACTGCCCTGGCCGTGCAGTTGGGATTCAGCCCTTTGGTGAGTATCACCTCCAATGGACAGCAGGCACGAGCGGCTTGCTCCCTGCGAGCCATCAACTTCTCCAAACGGATTTGTGTTTAATCAGTGGGCTTCAGTCACCCCAGACCAGAAACTACGCCTCGGGTCCAGAGCAAAATACGGACTCTCCTGTCCTCACAAAGAGAAAACTTCATCGTCTCTGCTTTTGGTTGAAACTCCTTACAAGGGGACAACCCACTATACACTTCCATCCTGCTTAGAGACATACAAGATTCATCTGGGAGGTGGGCGACAACACAGCACTCCCATCTGAAGGCTCAGGAGAGAGCACGTACCCCTTCAACAACCACAGGGGAGCCTTCCCCGTACACGCCAGCACCAGCACCGAGAAAGACGCTCGGGTCGCTTGATCACCCTTGTATCCAGAAGGTGGATGGCACCTCTTTTAAACAGAGCAAAACAGCTGTGATGCTTAATAACAGGTCTAGGGAGAACACTAAATGGTATCTACGACTTTAGAAACCAAAAGCCACTCCAGTTTGAACAATTTTATTTATCATAATTAAATGGCTTGGTTTTTCAATATTTAATAAGAATCAAATCAAACCCATCATTTTACGAAAAAAAAAAAAAAAGCAGAACCCACTATATATATTAGGGAGAAAATCCCACACTTACCTATAGCACAATGTAAAATCTAGAGAGAAAAAGAGAGGGAAGAGGAGAATTAGTAAGGATCAATAATATTACAGTTTTACTCATATAAACAAGTCTTTCAGTTACGTATGGAACAGTGTCCGCTAGCAGTACTGAGTTTGGAAAATAAACATTCCAGGCTGTGGAACAAAATGTAAATTCTTGTTCAGTGTCTTGTTTGTTCATTTTTAGTTTGTGTATCTTTGGGAGATTTCCTAAGAGACATTAGTCTTCACCTCGGTTCATCAGGTGTACCACAAATTCGCGAATGCGCTAACTCAACAACAGCTCCCACATCCCCCAGCCTGCAGAACACGACTGCCAGAGCCGAAGGAACACGGGTCAGAGCAGCCTCGGGCGGCGCCTGCAGTGCACAAGGCTCCACCCGCAGCGCTCATCTTGCCTCAGTCAGGGACCGCACTGCAGAGCGTTCCCTGTGTCTCCGAGCTCCAGGCCCACGTTCCTCAGTGCCCTGGGACATCCCCATCTAGGTGCAGCAGCAGTAGCTCCAACATGGCTGCCTCAAAGGGAAGCACGCCCGCCCTTCCTTCCCGCCTGCCACAGCTCTCACCACCTCCCAGCCTCTGGGGTTCAGTGGTCTTTCCTTCCCTCTTCCCCAGGTCTAACTTGTGTCCAAGTCCTGCCATGCTCTTGGGCCCTGTCTTTCCCAACCTTATTCCCAGGCCGCGAGTGAGACCGCCACCTCCACCTCCTCCCTGGCCGTCCTCTCAGGGTCTTCTGAACACTCTCCCTGCTCATCCTTCAGAGGCTGACAGCACTGTCTAACGCTGATGGTGCAGGGAAAGTGATCTGAAGTCATCTACAAGGTTAATTTCATGACCAAAGCTTTTCTAAGAAGACAGAGCCTAACAGCTGTCGTACCACATGTGAGAATTTTTGGTGCGATTCTCTAGCAGTCGTTGTACTGACTGATGTTAACAACAATCCTGGCAGATTGGCAGAACAGACAAGAACAGACATCGGTACCAGCAGATGAAAAAACCAAGGCTCAGAGACGCTGCAAGGCTTGCCCAAGGCAGTAAATGATGGCTATGAACAAGAACCCTGGTTCTGTTCCTACTCTACAGCCTTTCCTAAGCTATGATTCCACTGTACACTAGTTATAAAAGATCTAGAGTCCAGAACTTGACAAGACCTAGCTTATCTAAAAGACTGCTCAAAAAGTATTTCACTGGGCCGGCGCCGCGGCTCACTAGGCTAATCCTCCACCTGTGGAGCTGGCACCCAGGGTTCTAGTCCCGGTCAGGGCGCCGGATTCTGTCCCAGTCGCTCCTCTTCCAGTTCAGCTCTCTGCTGTGGCCCGGGAGGGCAGTGGAGGATGGCCCAAGTCCTTGGGCCCTGCACTCGCATGGGAGACCAGGAAAAGCACCTGGCTCCTGGCTTCGGATCAGTGTGGTGTGCCGGCCGCAGCACACTGGCCACGGCGGCCATTGGAGGGTGAACCAACGGCAAAGGAAGACCTTTCTCTCTGTCTCTCTCTCTCTCACTGGCCACTCTGCCTGTCAAAAAAAATTTAAAAATAAATTAAAAAATTATAAAAAGCATTTCACTAATTCTGTTTTTATTGGGGGAGGGGTCTTAGATTAAAAACCAAGCTGCTCAAATTTGTTGGTCACTGATAAGAGAACCAAAGAATTGCTACACTGCAAATATTACCATGTTTTTCAAAAGAAAATACTGCTAAGAACCTCAAATGTGTGACTATTCACTTTGAGGAAAAGTAAAAGATACCCCTAGATTAAAATGAGAAATGAAAGAGGTCAATAAAGAGCTTCCTTTAGACATGAGGACACAGGACAGGCCTAGACAGAACTCCTCCTCCTGCCATGTTCTGCGCAAGGCACCCAGGCTGCCGACTGTCAAGGGCACACTGCAGGAAATGACTTACAGCAATCCAGGGCTTATCACCTCTGTGTGATAGGACAGGGCGTCTCAGGTCTACCAGACTACCTTCAAAACATTAATTTATTTCAAAGTCAGAGGGGCAAAGAGAGAGAGAGAGAGAGAGAGAGAGAGAGAGAGAGAAACATCTTCCATCTGCTTGTTCACTCCCCGCACACCTACAACAGCCAGGGCAGGGTTGGGTCAGGCCAAAGCCAGGAGTCCAGAACTCCATCTGCATCTCCCACATGGGTGGCAGGGACCCAAGTACTTGAGCCATCAAGTGCTGCCTTTCAGAGTGCACATCACTAGGAAGCTGGATCAGAAGTAGAGGTGGGACTTGAACCCTGGCACTCCAGTACGGGATACAAGTGTCCCAAGTGGCAGCTTAAGTGGCAGCTTAACCCACTGTGCCACAATGCTCGCCCCATACTAGCCCTTTTTGATCATACACATTTTACAATGCCCCTTTTACCATTCTGAAATGAAATTCATAGATAATATAAGCTATTTACACTGTCCTAATTGACATGTAAACAAGAAATAAAAAATAATTTATTTAAAAAGCCTATTTCAATATGTGTGTGGGAACATAAAGAAGCAAGCAGACATATGTACCAGTTTATGAGGAATAATTTTGGATTTACAAATAAGGAAATACCAGAATCTCATCTGAATAAGTACCAGAAAAATAAAAAAAAGCAGAGATAAAGACCAACACTAGAAAAAAATAGTATTATTAAGTAGTAATGGACCTGAAGTGGGAATAATACACCAAGAGAAGTAACTGTCAATGTAGACCAACAGAAGCCACACAAAATGATCTCTGATGAGTTAGGTCTCACTTATTTATAAAGTGTGCCATCAAAATAATCTCCCAAGTTAAGTCATGGATGGGGTAGGAAGAAAATGTCACAGAAAACCTATCCTTCTGTCTTGAAATCCTGAGGAGACATACAATGTATGTGCAGTCTGTGAAAAGACCTGGAAGGCCATACTCTCCTTTAAAATAAAAAAATAAGGCCGGCGCCGCGCTCAATTGGCTAATCCTCCGCCTACGGAGCTGGCACCCAGGGTTCTAGTCCCGGTCAGGGTGCCGGATTCTGTCCCGGTTGCTCCTCTTCCAGTCCAGCTCTCTGCTGTGGCCCAGGAGTGCAGTGGAGGATGGCCCAAGTGCTTGGGCCCTGCACCCCATGGGAGACCAGGAGAAGCACCTGGCTCCTGGCATCGGATCGGTGCAGCGCGCCGGCCGTAGCAGCCATTTGGGGGGTGAACCAACGGAAAGGAAGACCTTTCTGTCTCTCTCTCTCATTGTCTAAATCTGCCTGTAAAAATAAATAAATAAATCTTTTAAAAAATTTGAGAGAGAGAGAAAGAGGAAGTCTCATATCTGGTGGCTCACTCCTCAGTTCCACAGAATTCCATTCAGTTCCACTGAACCCTGGCAGTTCGACATGGGATGCGGGTACCTTAACCTCTGGGCTTCACACGTCTCTTGAGGGATCATGTGCTTTAAATGGAGCAACAAAGAACAGCAGATGGATTAGACACGCAGACACACACAAACAGTAGTGAAAGAGGCAGCAGTTTGCATAATAGATTCAATACTCTTTTAGGACAAGACAAAAAACTGTGGCTCTCCCAAAGTAAAATTTCCATTTCACAATCTAGATTTCATTACACAAGTGCATGTGCACAAGCACACGCACCTATGGGGCAATAGTATGAAATATTACTAATCTATATGAAATCTAATGAGATCTCACATTTCAAGCGTCTCCACTAATTTAATAATTAAAGTCTGAACAGAAATCTCCAACTGGTATATATTTTCAATCAGTTTCATTGCTTTTGTGGCAATAAACATTACTGCACTGAAATCCTTTTCAACTAAATACACAAGCCGGAAATGCTTTCTTACAGAGCAGAATGGGCAAGTGGATAAATTACTTAATTATTTTGAGGCAATATCTTTATGTCACTTAAGCTTCCCTACCCACAATGGTGATAGCAGGCAGAATTCTAAAGATGATCTCCCAGTTCCTCGGCTATTATATCAAACACTAATCTAGGTACTGTGCTGTAATTAAAGGCCCAAGTCAACTGATTCTAAGGTACAGATATTACGTGGGTTGATCTGACCCAACCATGCAAAATCTTTACAAGCACTTTTCTCTGGATGGTAGCAGAAGGGAAGTCAGAAATACTTAAAGGACAAGAGGATTCGCCACACCATTGCTGGCTTTGAGGCCGGAAGGAGCCATGTGCAAGGCCTACACAGCAGTCCCTGGGAGCTGGAAGTGACCCCAGCTGACAATAACCTGAATGAGTTTGGAAGCAGATTCTTGACCAGATAAGACACTGGTCAGCCTGGCTGATACTTTGATTTTGGTCTGATGAGACCCTGAGCAGAGAACCTAGCCAAGCCCAACTTGGCTAACTGTTTGAAGCTGTTAAATCTGTGATCTTTTGTTATACAACAACAGAAAATTAAAATAGGGGTGGGCATTTGGCCTAGTAGCTAAGACACCTACATCCCACATCTGAATGCCTGAGTTTGAACCCAGTTCTGGCTTTTGGCTCCAACTTCCTACTCTTGCAGACCTTAGGAGGCACTGGCTACGGATCAAGCGACTGGGTCCCTAGGAGATCTGGATTGAATTTCTACCTCTGGCTTCAGTCCTGGCCCAGCCCTCGATCTGTGGGGCATCTGGGGAGTGAGCTGCAGGTGGGAGCTCTCTCTCACTACTAAGCGGGAAAGAAACTTCCTTCTGAGAAGCTTTGTATTGAAGCTGTCATGACGAGTTTTTCAGTATTTATATACACAAAAAACCATCTTGCAGTTTTCTATCTGTAGAGGCTGGCCTAGGGAGAGAGAGAAGTCCCAGGAACGTAGAGTGAGTCTCCCTGAGCTAGACAGCCTCACACTTTGTAGGACGTCTAGCCGGTAGCATCTCAGGCACTATGACGATCAGAATACACTTGCAAGTTTCCAAAATGCACTCCAACGAGAGTCACAGTTTTTTGGGTTTTTTTTTTTTTGACAGGCGGAGTTAGACAGTCAGAGAGAGAGACAGAGAGAAAGGTCTTCCTTTTCCG